GTGTGTGTGTGTGCTGTTTTTCACCTGACAGTAAAGAAGACACCACCCTCACAGCCTCCTCCATCGCTGCCTTCAGCCTCTGTTTCTCCTCCTCTGATAGGTTGTTGCTCTCCCTTGGAATCCAGCTCTGGATTCTGATTGGCTGTGGAGAGGCAGGAGTGGGCGTGGCTTTCTTTCCCAGACTTCTCCTCTGCCTCACTGACGGGCCAGGCAGAGGTGATGCCCTCCATCTGAGTCTGGGCTCGTTGGGTGGGACGTCTGTGTGGATGGGTGCAGCTCGGACCACCCTGGCCTGAGTCTGAACCTCATCAAAGATGCACTTCTGCAGGGCTCCGGGGAGCTCCGCCACTGCCACTATTACCACCAGCATCCCCACCCAGAGTCTCTGGGGCGGAGGTAAAACCATAATTATAGCTGGGACCTATTTCAGGGTCACAGCGAGGGTGAGGATTAGCTGTTGGACATTTTGGCTGAGGCGCTTTGCTAAGCTGCAGCATACATTCACTGACACTTTAATGTCCAACAGCCTATAGAGCAGGATAAATGAAATGCGTTACAGTGAATTAAATTCATTATTATCATACTAAAAGATGCAAAATGTAAGGTTGCCAATTACATTTTTATTGATTATTCCATGATTAAAGTCAACATTATCTTTTGTGTTCCTTAATAAATGTATTTTATTTTGTAAAGTAATTTATTTGGATTGATAATAAACGCTGATGACACACAGAGGTTAGAGACCTGGCAGGAGTTATATTCTACAACAACGACGAAATAGTGGGTTTAATAGCTATATTTAAATGTTATTTAAGGAGAAAAATAAATATTCAGTGTTTCCCCACCAGAACTGTGTTCCTGGTTATATGAGTAAAGCTTTGCAATAGCATTAAGACCTTCATGTTGGCAAATAACAGCTTACAGAAATATAAAGGAAGTTACCTGAATAAATTAAATATGCGTGTTAAGGGGAACTTGGACACATGACCTCAGTGTTTCTACAACACTGACTACAGTTGCTCTTGTGTTGTGAGGTATTAACCTACTGAATGCAAAGATTACTTTTGGAAAATATGAAAGCCAGATTATGTAAAATGCTACATTTATTTGTTCCTCCACATAAATCTGAAGAGTTCAAGTTCTTTTCAGTTTAGCTGGATCACAATATGCAGTAGAAATCTAATTGTATTTGACACCTATAACGTCACTTTCAAGGTGGATGTAATGTCCTGGACTCAAATAAACAGAATGTCCACACTACAAATATGGAAATTCAGTCCATGCATCTGCTGCAGCAGCTTTTAAATGTGAATTTCAGCTCCAGCAAACACTTCACTGCAGCAATTTATCAATTAAAAACAAATCTATTCATTAGGATTACCTTGTAGGCGAATGCAACTTCAGTACATCCATGTAGTCTCAATCCTCAACGGCAACAGAAACAGCTTCATTTGTTCTGTATTCACCTTTTCTCCTGCACACCAGAGTGATGGTCTGAACCTCTTCCTTTCTTCCAGAAGAACCACTGAGGAGCTCTCTCTCAGAAGTCTGTGAATTTCCAAAGGAGTTTTGAATACAAAGCACAATGCAACGACTCTGTCATCTGTTACCGAGGTGTGAGGCGTCTTTTTATCCCTGCTTTTAACCCCCAACGCACAAACGCACACACAAACCCAACAGCTAAAAGTGCAAATCGTTTAATCTCAGCCACATTTTTACTTATATACAGTGAAGTTGACCCTAATAAACCATAAAATCACTCAATGAAACTGTGAAAAATGAAAAA